TTAGCAAGAGTTCAGCCTAAAGTTTTATATTCCAATACAAGTTACCAATAAGCGTTAAATACCGCACAACATTTGGAGGCACTGCCCAGATCACAAGTGGATTCTATCTTTACTTGGGCCAATTAACCACAATTTTTCATAAGTTTACAAAATTGTATTTACTTATGACCCGTTTACGCTTGGAAAAAATGTCTGTTTGCTGAACCAACTCATTGTTCGAACAAGCAACTGAATACAAAAATGTATTCAGTTGTTTGTTCACTAAGTATGTTGAAACTTTTGCAGTTCCCACCATTGCGGCAATGTCATTTGCAGAGTTATTTGTAGACAACATTGTGTTTAAACATGGAGCACTAAGATGATTTCTAACCGATAGAAGTAGTAATTTTATGAGCAAATAAGTAAAAGAAGTGTGTGAAATATTAAATGTGAAAATGCCTTTCACAACCGCTTATCACCCCCAAACCGACAGTTTTGTGGAAAGTATTAATGGAGTTTTGGCTCAGAGTCTTTCTATGTATGTTGCCTCTACATTGCCTCTACCAACTACATTGGGATGTTCGTCTTCCCGCCATTTTATGCATATAATACTAGTATATCTACTAGCACTGGAGAAACACCCTTTAGGTTGACATATTGCAGAGATGCTCTCCTACCCCATGATACTACACGAAAAAACTCACAAGTTTCTGGCATGGTCCATTTCCTTTAATTGAAAAAACATCCCCCGTGACTTCCAAGGTCAAAAATATGAATAATAAAGAACTACCTACATGAATTCATACGTCTCGTTTCAAACAATGGTTTGGTTATGAAGAAAAACCAATAACAGAGATAGCTATAAACACTGAGGTTCTCACTGAAGCCACAGAAGTGAGTGATGAATTCAGTTTTAAGAAAACTAACTGAAACAAAACACAGGAAGAAGTTAAAATTGCCCCTGAAAACGAACCATCACTAGATCAAGCTAACGGAATCGAGGTTCTCGATTCCGATATATATAAGGTGGAGAAAATTATTTACAAAAGAACGAGAAGAGGAAAAATACAATACCTAGTTAAATGAGAAGGTTATCCATCCAGCCAAAATACTTGGGAGCTAGAAGAGAACATTTTTGATCCCCAAGTAGTCCAGAAATACCTTTTATAAAAAGTAGAAAGACTAGCAAAAGTGGGCATATCTCAGCTCTAACCACGACATGTCTGCACATACTTATGGAGAAAAACCAAACCAATTGTAGGTTCATGCCGAGATGAACCCTCAGAAAATACCTATTATATTATGGTTTCTGATCCTTTTACGAACAATCATTACTGACTTATTTATCAGCGAAGTCTTAGACTACACAAAGGTGAAACCTATTGGAGTTTATCAACTGTCTGCAATTATGTCATGCAATCATAACATGCATTAGTTAAATGATTCTGTGAAAATGTTTACAGACCTCAGACAACCACAATAACCCTATTTCATTGATATGTCGAGAAAGTCAACCTTACTTGTCAGTCAAATTTTCTCAACCAAAGGCCTAAAGACCTACCATCCCAATAAATACCTGTAACATCTGGAGAATGTCTTTTAGCCATGAAAGATAAAATATCACCATATGGAGCATTACAAGTAGATAGCCTCAATACATGGTGATCAGTAGCAACAGACCAACTTCATTGTGCATGGTCGCACACAAAATCACAGAAGTATACCCATTTCTACATGAAAACATATAACGAACAAATCACTGGACGAGTCACAGGAGTACATCCATTTCTACATGAAAACATATCACTGAACGAGTCACAGGAGTATACCCATTTCTTCATGAAATCATATAATGGATGGTAACCCTAGAACAATACGTCACTAAGAGTTTGTGTTATTATGCTCTGTGTCATTGTGTTCCCAGTGAATGGACAGAATCTATAATTGTATCAGGAGATGACGAGAACAACAATGAGGTTATGAAGAAATTAGGTATTTACCCAATCGAATGTATAGGTGATTTCATTCTAATCAGAAATCTAAAGGTAGACAGAGCTATACAGCTCTCAAAGCAAAAGGATTATGTGCTTACTCTAGATAACGGTATGCTCTAAAAGATCCCACATTCCAAGATGGTGTTTTTCAACAAAACAAATCCACTGCTGCAAATATTTAATGTTAGGCACTACCTAAACTAGCTTTAGGTAGTGCCCTACAAGCCACCACAAGAGGCGGAAGCCAGATTATTAAAGCCATTGGTGGTGCCATCAAAGATTCACTTAATGGAGTTTCCAACTTAAATGAAAAGTTAGTAGAATCAATTGGAATCGCTTCATCTTCAATTTTAAAAGCCACCAGAGGTGCTGTAAAGGACGTGGGAGAAGGAGTAGGTTCCTTTTTCCAAAAATTTATTGGTAAAATAAGTGGATCGATTTTCTGGGTCGCATTTCTGTTAATAGTAGTATACCAACAACTTAACAATTAACAAGGCCAAAAATAGCAAGATCAAGGTCAAAAGTTA